GATTATAATATTAAAAAAAATTTCTAGGCCATTTCAAAGGTTGTCTGCCAATTGGAGAATCTGGGTACATGCTATTTAATTTTAATGTATACAAAAATTTCAATGTATGTTCTTTGATTTGTTGCTTCAATCTACAAGAAATAGATCTCCACTTAACAAATGCATACAAAAACAGCACCAAAGGCTAATTGCTAGAGCTCTACACAACTTCAGATTCAATCTCCCAAAAGTGGTTCAGAGTTTGAGGGAGTGCAAATGCAGGACCTGTTTACAACACCTTAAAACCACTATGGAATCCTAGGAAATGACCTAGAAACTTTCAAGTGTCATTGTCAAGAGTTATGTTGGTATCCCCACCTCCAAAGTACCTTTTGGATACTGAAACTGAAGAACTGCATGGCCTACTAATTGTTAAAAGTATTTCATGCAACTATTACTATAGACAAATGTAGTAATATTATCAAACTATGATGAAGATGGAGGCAATCACATCAGCTTTTAAGTGCCTTGATAAATAAAAAAGCCTTGACCAAGTGTGAAAAGCTTTGCAAAGTTGGTCCTAGTTGAACTTCCTGTGAGAAAGTGTTCCAAAGTTAGCTACCCTCTAGAAAATGTATTTTGATATATTCGAACGTAACATTTTCCTGAAGGTACTTATGGAGCTTATCTGAAGATTTCTAGAGGCAAGAAAAGAAAGATGCCAACTTACATAGATTCTATCTGTCCAATTTAAAGTTGTGGAAAGAATACATTTATGAATGAAGGTGACTATACACTTCCCAGGAGAATGTTGCAGGATCCAATTTGGGTTGGTCACCAGAGGTTTAGTCTTCCAAGCTTTCGGACTCATTCTGGAGCTCATCAGAATTTCCCTGAGAATGGGCTCCAGCACGAGTCTGAAAGCTCGGAAGACTAAACCTCTGGTCCCGATGACCAACCCAGATTGGATCCTGCAGAATACACTCAAATTAGTGATAGTCTCAGGTTCTTTTTAGTGAAGGCAACTACTTATTGGACCACTTTGCAGGTAGGTAGCTGTTATTACATCAAGCTATTATTGACTAACTAAAGGACTTGAGTTACTCCTTATTCTTTGTTTTCAGATTAGCAAGATGTGTGAATTTAACCACAATGGCTTTACATTATGTGAATGCATCAATTATACCTTGTTCAACAAGCCTTAATCTTAAAAATTCTAGTTTGGCATTATATATGAATTCAACTAATGTTTCAGTTTAATGATTCTTCTAATAATAGTCAACCCCTTCTTCCCATTCACCAATTCTTCTCACAATCCCACTTATAAAGCTCTTCTGTGTTAATGTTCCCTAGGCAATGCATTCACTTCTCATTTCCATTGGTTCCATTGTTGATGCTTTTCTTAAAAGTCTATGACATGGTATCTCTCTAATATAATAGGAGACGAGAATACACCTGAATGTTGAGAAGATCTAGCTGAGTAAGTGGCAGAGATGAGTAGTAGAGAAAGATTCTACAAACTAGGATTCAGTAATCCAGAGCCAATCCATCCAAATATTGCCATCTTTATGTTCCAGAGAAAACTTCCACAATATACTATCAAATTATGTTAGTAAATTATCTTGCATTAAAGAAAGACTAGCTGCTTCTAGAGTTCAAGTAGCAAATGTTTAAAATGTTGAGGGATACAGAAGAGCATCACTCAAATGTGTCCTGCCAGCTACCTGAATAGAATTCTTAGAGTATAACCACTATAGTTTTCAGTCAAAATACAGCAATTATTTTTATAGTTTTTCTTTCTTCCTCATTTGATAGTTCTCCACATCAAATATCCAGATCATTTAGATCAGGGCTGTCAAACTCCCGGCCCATGGGCCAGATCCGTCACATGCTGGCTATGCCAACGCCCCGTTTAATGAAGGGGGGGGGGAAAGTCCTGATATGTCACGTGATGCCGCAGTGACAACATGAGTTTGACATCCCTAGTTTAAATTTATTTTTGTATGTATTAGGTTAAATGTGTGAATATAGTTAGTTGTCACTCAAAACTATTACTGGAAAAGCCTACATGCTACAGCAATTTCTGTACTTGTAGAATCATTTATTTCCATCCAAAGAAATTTATTTATACAAGTCCCCAGATTAAGAACGTTCTGCTTTAAGGACGACTCATAGTTAGGAATGGAGCTTATTGTAGCAAAATTCAAGTTAAGTACCCAATGATTCAAATTAAATGCAAAATGGTTCAAATTCATTTCACAATACTACTTTTACAGTATTGTACAATAATACTATTCCAGCTTACATACAAATCCGATTTAAAGACAAACCTTGGAAACAGAACTCATTCTTAAACTGGGAACTATCTGTACTTAGGTTATTTATGCTTAATATACTCCATTTATGTCAAAAGGGCCAAAATATGACTTCTTCAAGTTTTAGACTTCAAAAAGCATATTGAAGCCACATCTAAACCATCAATTATAGCATTTATCTCTTCCCCCCACATGTATAAAGCATCATTACAAATCATTTTGTAATCAGCATTTTTTCTACTAAATCGAGTACAGGTAGTCCTCAATTTACAACAGTTTGTTCACTGGCCGTACAAAGTTACAACAGCACTGAAAAAAATGACTTTTGACTGTTTTTCACACTTACAACCATTGCAGCATCCCCATGGTCACATAATCACAATTTGGATGCTTGGCAACTGGGTCATATTTATGATGGTTGCATTGTCCCAGGGTCATGTGATCAGCTTTTGACAAGCAAAGTCAATGGAGAAGCCAGATTCACTTAACAACTGTGTTACAACTTAACAACTGCAATGATTGTTGACAAGAATGGTGACAAGAAAGGATATAAAATGGATCAAAACTCACTTAACAAATATCTCATTTAGCAACAGAAATTTTGGGCTCAATTGTGGTCGTAAGTTGTGGACTACCTGAATAGCTACAATTTTTGTTTCTTATTTTAACAGAAGAATGTCATTTTGTTATTTAATATAAAAGATGTGATCCAAATAATTACTTGGCATGTCTACCAAAAATTACAGTACTTTTTTTGAGCAGCAGGCCCTTTCTCCTGCCAAATATTTATTTCAAACTGTTTTTAGGAAGTTTCTTTAGTTTCAAAATAAGTTTATTGAACATCATATTGCAAGACTTTAGGGTATAGCATCAGCTTCCATTGGAAGATTCAGTCGTACGAATGCAGTCATGCATTAAGAATTATATATAGGTTAGCTGGCCCAGCCACCACTCCTCTGTAACTTGTTATATCTCCTTAGTTTATTAGGAGAGCCAAGGGAAATAGTAGTTAAGTCACCATGCTAGAAAGCAGGAGACCATGAGTTCAAGTCCCATGAAAGCCTGAAAGCCAGCTGGATGACTTTGAGCCAGTCACTGTCTCTCAGCCCAACCAACTTCACAGGGTTGTCGTTGTGGGAAAAATAAAAAGAGGAAAGTGTGTTGGATATCTTCGCTGCCTTGAGTTATAGTAAAAATAATAAGGGCAGGATTCAAATAAAATCTGAAAATGGACTTTGTTTACCTTTTCCTATTATTTATAGGGATCCATCATAAGTTTATACCACCTTAAAATATATTCAAGAATGTCAAGAATAGAAACAAAATTGCACCCTTCTTCATACTGTTCAAAATACTAAAAATGTGTGTTATCAATATATACTTCCAAGTAATACAAATGGTACAAATAACTTTTCCGTTATTTCTTAATAGCCAGGTTGGTATAGTGATAAAGGTGCTGGCCTAGAAACCAGGAAACTCTGAGTTCTAGTCTCATCTTACGCATGAAAGCCAAATTGTGCTCTCTTTTAGCACAACCTACCTCACAGGGTTGTTGTTGTAGAGAAAACAGGAGAGGGGAGGGAGCATTTTGCATGCTTACCACCTTGAGTAACTTATAAACTAATAAAGGCAGTATAACAATCTAATAAATAGATTACACTATTCCCACTGCAAATCTTCAACAGCAGCATTTTCATCACGGTTTTTTGTCTGTCTGAGCTGATACCACTGGAAGCAGTCTCACCATCAAAACCATCAATGCGATCAAAGCTCGCAGAAAAGCTCCGAAATACCAGTATAAACTACGATCAGCACATCATCAATAATTATCAAACAAAAAACACACAAAAAAAACCCCAATCTATCTGAAGACATAGCTAGACTTCCTTTTTGTGTTTTTTTTTCCTATTGCTTATCACAAAGCAATACTAACTCATTCAATAACATGCAGATACAGTGATATATTGGCAGGTCAATCCATAGAAAACTGGAAGCATATCCTTAAGGATATATAGGAAATGTTTTCAGTCTATCAGTCTACCACCCCACCCCACCTCACCAAGTACGGCCCATCTGTCTGGTTTCATAGGTCTATGAAATCATTTGCCTTTACTTTCCCTAAATCCCTGAGCTTCAATTACCTGAGCTTTCCCTTGACCTGCAGTATCATCATCACTTCTTTCCTACTGGGAGAAAGTCACTCAACCCTCCACTGTTTTGCATCGCTGCCTCTGTGTAAAGTCCTCCAACCCATTCAGGACGGTGGTACCCAACCAAATATTCCCTGTCCTTGTTTCTCCCCCCTCCCCTTGCTCCCCTTCCTCTTTATAACCCAGAGAGAAATAGGAAGACAGCCACAGCCGCAGCCACGGCCACCAAAGCACTGGGGCACTACGATCTGCCCCCCACCCTCCATTTAGGTAAGGACAGAGCCACGCTGGCAGAGAAAAGGGGAACATCTTCACCAACCCCTCCCTGATACCCAGACAGGAGAAGGCTAATTGGTATGGATGGCTCTATCGCCCATCACTAGGGATGACTCAACCTGCCTTGTCTTCAGCCCAGCTTGGTGAGCATCTTGCGCGGGCCAGGCGGCGACCACTTGGGGTGGGGAGGCGACGCCCGGCTGCGCTCCCCCCCCACCCGCAATGGAAAGCCTCTCCGGGCGGCCCCCTGCTCCTTTTATTTGTCCCTCACAGCACCCACCATAGCTGGCAACTCGCTGCTCCCCGTCCCTACCGGACCGACGCTAGTGTCTCCACAAGCGCAGAGCAGGGCGCTGAGAAAGGGCAGCAGGCGACGGCACCCCCAGGCTGAGGCTCCGCAGCATCCTCGCTGCCTCCGCTCCATAGCGGGGCCCATCCCTGCACCTGCTCAGGCAGGGAGAGCAGGGCCTGGCCGACCGCGCATGCGCTTCGGCCAGAGAGGTGGGATAAGGATGCGATGCAACTCAACCCCGCTCAGTTCTTTGAGGTAATAACAAAAAAGTCTTTCAGGGGCGGGAGGCGTTGGGGTGGCGAAAGAGAGGAAGCCGAGCCACCCGGAGGTGTAGAAGAAACTACGCGAAAAGGCTGAATGGGCTCAAGGCAGATCCCAGCAACAACAGCAAAACGCGTTAGCAACAGAAGCGGCTGATTTGAGTCGATGAAAAGTTCGCTTGGATCTGCGGGTTGCGATGGGCAGGAAACCATTTAGAAGTTGTTGTTGAAAGTACGGGCAGCAAGACGCAGTTTTTGAATTGATTAAAAACTTGCCCTTCAATTTGCAATCTGGTGAGTTTTATAGGCAAACTCAAAACATCAGCTCAGTCCTATGCAGATATCCTCCACAGAAGGGTGCTGTATGGTTGTTTGGCTTCCTATCAAGCCCATCAGCTTGGGGCTTCAGCTTCAGCTTCAGCCTCCATATCCATTTTCAGGACTTTGATATTGTTAAGAGATGTTTTGTCTGCCAAATGCTTCAAATTATGACAATCGTTATGATAGCAGAGCCACTGAAATAAATTTAATCATAAAGATTTGCCCCTTTTGGTTCTAGGAAATGAGAAGCTAAAATTTAGTCAAAACATTATTTTATTCCTCTGAGATGGCATAGCCAATTGTGAAGATATTTGCTTTTTTATTATGCATAGAGAAAGTAGAAGCCCTTAGCCAACCTTGGCTAACTGTGAAAAAGCTAAACAGTGTCCTTGTTCTTGGAAGGAAGAATCTCGCTTTGTGTTGTTGCCACAACTATCTTCTTCAGTTTTCAACTTTCTGCTTCATAGAGTATCACACGGAATACTGTGGTTGCATAATTCTGTTTAGAGATACGTAATGACGTTTGAATAATTTTTTCCATTACTACCATACAAAGTACCAGTTTGCAGCATATTACTTGACGGCTGATTCTTTTATTGTTGAGTCAATCCTAAAGGCAAAAGCTACCAACCATTGTCAATATCTTTACTGTCAATTCCAAGGTTGTTCCAAGGTTGTACTGTCAAGTCCTGTTGTCATTAGTTTGGTCTTCTTTATAATTAGCCTTACTCCCATTTGTTCATTGTGCTCCACTTTCCTTACTAGAACTTCACTTCCATTTTCAGCTATCAGTAGTGTTATCAGCATTAGTGCAAGTTACTGGTGTTTCTTCCTCCAGGTTTAGAAACATGTTTTTTTGGGGGTAAATACCTTCCTCAATATATATCCACCATATTGATTGAATAAATAAGAAGAGGATTTTTAGCTCTGTGTAGATGTGATAGGTATTCATAACTCATTTTTTTAAAATAATTTTTTTATTAGAGCATCAAAAAGAAAAATCAAAAACAAATGTATAGTAATTTTTCTATAGTAATTTTTTGTTACATCACAGTGTAACATCGCCAAAATATCCATATATATATATATATATATATATATATATACATATATATATATATATATATATATACACACACACACACACACACACACACACACACACACACACACACACACCAGTAATCAGAGAGTAAAAATAGAAAATATTTACAGATTCTTGTATACAAATTTACCTTTCCAATACTTATTAATTACCATAAATATACAATCATCTATAATTATAATCCAACATTATCCTTTGTCTCTCTCCCATCGTTTCTGGATCCAGTCATACCACATATTCCAACTACCATAAAAGTCTGAGTCTCTTTTACCCTTGATCAGTTTTGTAAGTCTGTCGGACTCTGCACATTCCATGATTTTATAAATTATTTTTGCGTCCATTGGTAAGTCCTCATTCTTCCATTCTTGTGTGAATGCCAGTCTCCCTGCAGTAATTATGTGCAGCATCAAATACCATTTAGTCAATCCAATATTTGCAGGTCTAACCCCCAATAAAAAAGTTTCTGGTTTCAATTCCACTCTATAGTGTGTAATTTCAAACAACCATCGTCATATTTTCATCCAATATTTAGCTGCCAATGGGCATGTCCACCATTGGTGGAAGTAAGTTCCTTTGCTATGTCCACATTTCCAGCACTGTGAAGATGTCCCGGGGAACATTTTAGCTAATCTTGCTGGAGGTAGGTGTCATCGATAAACCATTTTAATAAATATTCTCTTTATAAGAGGATGCCATAGTTAATTTTAAATTTTTAAGCCAAATCTCCTCCCATTTTTGAAGATCCAATGAATAACCCATATTTCGCCCCCAAGCAATCATGGAGTCTTTAACGATTTCCTCCCCCACTTTCAGTGATAATAGATAAGAATAGCATTTCGATAGGGCTTTCCTGTCATTACCTAATAAGATTTTATCCAATTCTTGTTTTCCATGATATATCCCTTCACTCTCCTGATCTTTCTTCCACCTTGAGTGTATTTGGGTGTAGGCCCACCAGTCTATGTTACACCCCTCCGACCTCAGTTGTTCCCGTGTTTTCAGTCTGCCCTGAGTATACAAAATATCTTCCTAGGTCAAGACCTTCTCTCCTTTATATAACATCAGATATACCAGGGCCTCCTGAATTGAGATCCAACATGGTATCTTCAGATACAACTTTCTCCTAAGTCTTTCCCAGGTATCTCCTAGGATCTTACGTAAATACCTTGATCGAGGTATTCAGAAAATACTTCGATCGGGCTGACTGTCCTGGCCATAAAAAGTGGTGCCAACCGTGTTGAAGGCCGTAACCTTCTGCTGCCAATAGCCGCCTCCTTTTCAGGGCGATCCAGTCCTTCACCCATATCAGAATAGCTGCCTGATGGTAAAGCTCCCAATTTGAGAGTCCAAATCCCCCTCTAATTTTAGGTTCCTGCATTATCCTGAGCTTAATCCTTGATTTTTTTACTTTGCCAAATAAATTTAGAAATAACTCTGTTCAAGGTGTTAAAGAATTCCCTATCCAAGTTTAGCGGGGCAGTTTGGAACAAAAACAACCATTTGGGGAGGACGTACATTTTGTCGGCAGCAATCCTTCCCATAAGTGATAACTGTAAATTTTTCCACCTCTCCAAATCTCTAACTGTCAGATTATAAAGGGGAACATAATTATCCTCCTTTACCGATGAGCACCTTGCTGTCAGCCAAATTCCCAAATATTTTATTCTATTAGTTATCTGCATCCCCAGGAGTCCTTCCAACTGACATCTCTGCCTCTGCGTCATGTTTTTAACTAATATTTTCCTTTTTTCCTCATTAATTAGCAATCCTGCTACTCTCCCAAAATCCCTAAGTACCTGTAATAGCTTCAATCCTGATTCTGATGGATCTTCCAGTATGAAAACTAAATCATCCGCATATGCCTGAGGACTTCCGGTGACGTCAACGCAATGGATGGCTAGACAGTGTGAAAGCTCTATATCCAGCTTTCCCTTTTCTACAAACGGCGGCTTTATTTAGCAATCGCAAACCGCTGAGAGGTTTGCGAAGGAGAGGAGATACCAAGGTGTGTATGGAGGTGGCATCTTCCACCCCGGGGTGCCTTTGTAGGAAGAGGGCGGCAGATCGCCATTCCGAAGCAGTGACTGATCCTCTTGGAGAGGGAAGCCAATCTGTCACGGTGTGAACAATTGGACTGAGATTGCCATGCTGAGTGAGTGGGAGAGAAGAGAACGATACTAGCCTCTTTGAACTGTATTGGTCAAGTGAAAGTGAGCGGCTGGAGCGGAGACTGGCCATTTTTGACTTTTGTGGTGTGGAGCCAGCTGTTATTTATTTATTTATTTTTTGGAACAGCGGCAGCGGAGTGATTGGAGTTAATCACGCTTATTTCCTTTTGGTTCTTATTTGGATTTCTGGAAACATTCTCTTCGTGTGTTAAAGATTGGAGACGTTTGGTGATCATTAGGCTGCTTCTTATTTGAGATTTACAGATCCAGAAATATTGGGATATCGACACAATTCTAACATCTTTGGCTCTATACACCACCACAATGGAGTTGGAATGAAACAAACACAATGTGCTTTAACTGCAGACTGTCAGCTTTAATTTGAGGGTATGTATATCCAACTCAAGTGAACAGTGTAGGATGTACAGCAGTTTGCATATGTGCCTCCCACTTGTTAGGGGACCAAAGGTAATGGGACAATTGGCTTCTCAGCTGTTCCATGGCCAGGTGTGTGATATTCCCTCATTACCCCAATTACAATGTGCAGATAAAAGGCCCAGAGTTCATTTCAGGTTGCTATTTGCATTTGGAATCTGTTGCTGTCAACTCTCAAGATGAGATCCAAAGAGCTGTCACTATCAGTGAAGCAAGCCATCATTAGGCTGAAGAAACAAAACAAACCCATCAGAGAGATAGCAAGAACATTAGGCATGGCCAAAACAAGAGTTTGGAACATTCTCAAAAAGAAGAAACTCACCGGTGAGCTCAGCAACACCAAAAGACCCGGGAGACCACAGAAAACAAGTGTGGTGGATGACCAAAGAATTCTTTCCCTGGTGAAGAAAACACCCTTCACAACAGTTGGCCAGATCAAGAACATTCTCCAGGAGGTAGGTGTATGTGTGTCAAAGTCAACAATCAAGAAAAGATTTCACCAGAGTGAATACAGAGAGTTCACCACAAGATGTAAACCATTGGTGAGCCCCAAAAACAGGAAGGCCAGATTAGAGTTTGCCAAACAACATCTAACAAAGCCTTCACAGTTCTGGAACAAGATCCTATGGACAGATGAGACCAAGATCAACTTGTACCAGAGTGATGGGAAGAGAAGAGTATGGAGAAGGAAAGGAATTGCTCATGATCCTAAGCATACCACCTCATCAGTGAAGCATGGTGGTTGTAGTGTCATGGCGTGGGCATGTATGGCTGCCAATGGAACTGGTTCTCTTGTATTTATTGATGATGTGACTGCTGACAAAAGCAGCAGGATGAATTCTGAAGTGTTTCAGGCAATATTATCTGCTCACATTCAGCCA